TATCATGAGTCAACAACAAGCCTGCAAAATAGTAGTCTTTTATTTTAGTTGTAAGAGCCCGCGCATCGACCGCCAAGTGACCCATAACACGCTATGTAGTCGAATAAGACCAATTATTGTTAAAAATTTTGGGTTCAGCACAAAGTTTTGTTTCATATTATTAGATAATGAATCAGTTAATGGAAAAGATAAAGTCAAATATCATTTCCCCGCATCCCTTTAGCTTATCGTTAATTTCAAAGTTATCTTCTTCCAATAAAATTTTAATTGTTCACTTGATAATTGCACTAGCCTATAGTCAAAATATGTAAAGAACAGCATTAATATTGCTGGGCTGCATTTAGGTCGCTGGTTCCAAATATTCTAATCTTTTTTTAATATTTGCTATAGTTTGCGAATTTTTGCATATTTAGGAACAATTTCGGTAGTTCTAATAGAAAAGCCATTATTTTCCATCATCGTGGAAAAATTTTGTTTATGCAAATGATTATGGAAACACTGAACAGGCACAACTTCTAGAAACACTAATTAGTTTACTTATGTTTATGCATACAATATAAAAATTGCAAATATTGGAAAATTACAAAAAATGTTGTTAAAAATTTTTTTTTCATTTAAAATAATTTGCTTATAATCTGAACGATTTTCATCATATTATTATCATAAATCAGTAACAGTAAGTTTTGCCTTCAATTTGGTAATTATTACGTACCGATCGAGTGACATTTACCAAAGTTATATCGAAAAACTCAAGTGGATCCCCGGGTTTTTTTCTAAAAAAAATTTCTCTTCAATTGTATAAATAACTTTTAAATAAATGAACCGGATTACAGAAAAGTGTGCCAGGGAGTGACTTTTTTCGTTCCAGCTGACTGCAAAGCAATATCGTCCAATTGGCGAGTCCTCAAAAGGATTTCCCAGGATATGTTAAAGACTATTGCATTTATATACAGTCACTTTTTCACATAATGGAATTAACTAAACACTTATTGCACGTCCATTACTTTCATATAACGGCAAATTTAGAAACCTCGCAAAATGTGCTTCTTCGGTGACATCCGCATCAATTTTAAAGACTGCATAAATGGAGTTAAAATGGGTGCTTCTCACCCTAATTGTATTATGTTAATGTATCAAAATACTTATATGCTTGAAACTACTATTAACTTATCAAACAATTCCTAATCTTTGACAACACATGTTTGACTTCGTTCACCACCATCTTGAAAACAGACCAACTCGGCGTGACCAAGTCCATGGTCCTTTTAATATTATATAAACATCCCAAAACATTAGATCGTTTGAAATAAATCTCGTCAGACTTTTTTGTATTTTTCACTTGATTGCTGAAGTAATGTAGAATTGAAAATTTATAAGGGAAAATTTATAGTTTTTGTAAGTTTTATTTTAATTTCTTAAAAACTTGCAGACTTATTGAAAAATAATAAATGAACCTGAGGTACAAAACTTAATAACCCTTAATTTGATATATCGTCCTGTTTATAACAATTAACGCATTCCATATATATTACAAGCCAAAATTTAAATTTCAAAATTCATACACTTTGATTCAATTGCGCGGGCTAAAGATAAGTTCTAAATTAATCTTTCGTGGCCAATAACTATTGGCTTAGACCTAAGACATCATAATATTACTATTACAAAACGGTCAAATGCCTTTTATTTTCCCCCATACAAAATCGAACCAGCCTAATATACATATGTGCTATATTGAACTCACCATCACAGCATTGCGCTTGAAATCCATGAAATTCTTAACCTCGGCTGCCAATTCGCGCAGCAATATGATGCCATCCTTTCGTTTCACTTCGATATCATTCTCCTTAAAACGCTGTGAAGAGGAAAGTGTAAAATGAAAGCAAAAATAAATGAAAATTATTCTTTAATGAAATTTGCAAGGATATTGAAATTTTTAGATGATTGAGGGAATTTCATTAAAAAAAGTTGATTTATCATTGATTCTTATGTCGCATATGAGAGTGATAAAAACTAACTAATTGAGTATTAGGGAAATGTCTTACTTCCTTTGGCGAATCATGAAATTGCATGAAAAAGGCGGTTCTTCCAGTTGTTTCTATTCTGCGCCAACTGACGCCAGTTAGAAATGTCAATTGATCCAAGTCCTTCTGCAACGCTGTATTTTAATAAGCCGCTCTATTTCTATATCGTTTTAAAGCTCACCGTTACCGCCAGCAATGGAGTATAGCCGTTGGCCTGCATGGGCAAACGAATACAGAAGGTGGAGCTGATTGTGATACCGCTAACTCTCTTGAAAATTTTGACAGAAGTGTGACGTCATACATTGCCTGTGTAATATACATATACGGAAAATCTGCGATGACGTCAAATTTAAGTTACTTTCCCGAACTTCACATCAATCAGCAATCTTGTATTCTATCAGTCTGGGTTGTGCTGGGTATGCAGTTAAAGTTGCATGGTTATACCTAATCCCGACTCTTGCGTCCTCGTTTGCGAATTCTGGTAAACATGAGCAACCCATGTCCGAGATGCGGTAACCAATCCGAGTGGAGCCTTGGTTCACGGCAGAAAGAGAGGGGGCCACTCCAACTTATTCGGTTTAAGGGCTCACTGAAGTCTGCAGCCTCTGTTCATCAGTAGGTGCGGCTGCAAGCGGATGCAATGGGTTGTTCGCTGGGTTTGGGACCCGCCGCGTAGAAACAGGCTCCAATGAAAAAGAAAACAAAGCCTCGGATGGGAACCCCCCTTTCAAGACGACCACGGCAAACGTTTAAAGGACCACGATTTGAGGGCATAGACCTGGAATGTCCGGACTCTTAATGGGCAAGGTGCCTCTGCCCGGCTGGTTGATGTCCTCGTAAGGACAAAAGCTGACATCACCGCCATCCAAGAAATGCATTGGCCGGGACAAGGCAAGAAATGTCTAGGGCTTTGCCACGTCTACTACAGCTGCCATGTAAAGAAGCTCAAAGTCGGTGTTGGATTTCGCCGTCGCCGAGTACTGTCATTCACCCCGGTTAACGAACGTCTCGCCACAATCCGCATCAAAGGAAGATTCTTCAACATCTCGCTGATTTGAGCCCACGCCCCGACGAAAGAGAAGGACGAAGTGGTCAAGGATAGCTTCTATGAGCGCTTCGAGCGCAAATACCGCTGCCCGCGCCATGATCTCAAAATCGTGATTGGCGAGGAAGGGATGTTCCTACAACAAAAGGTCCATCATGCTACGTAGTTTCCTCCCTATCGAAAAACGAGAAACCAAATCGATCATGTTGTGAAAGATGGAAAGCACGTTTCCAGTATTTTGGACGTACGCTCACTCCGAAGCCCAAACATCGACTAGGAGCGCTATCTCGTTGCAGCCACAATACGCACCAGCCTCTGTGCAGTAAAAAATGTGTGCCCAAAAATGCAATGAAAGCTAAACGTCGAAAAGCTGCAATCACAACATACGGCGAATTTATTCGCCACTCGGCTCTCTGAGAGCACTCTTCAACAAACCGACATTCGCGAGCAGTGGAACCAAATTTCCCGCTCATTAAGTACCGCCGCCGAAAAAGTAGTCGGATTTCAGCTAGCCCGAAAGAACAACTGGTACGATGAGGAGTGTCAAGAAGTTGCAGAGAAAAAAGATGCCGCCTAAGGGGCCACGCTGCGATCGGGCGCAACGTGAGCCATGTGGACCGTTATAGGAAAAGAGGGAAGCGAGACGTATTTGCCGCATTAACCCTTAATTAGGCGCATGGGGTCAAGAGAATTTCAAGTAAAAAAAAATCATGCCTTCGAGTGCTTGGAGCGCGCTCGCGTTCTTTCTTGCTACGTTATTCCGGGCGGGGTGCGTAAATTAGTCAAGGCCAGATCATTGGCGTGTACTAGGAATGTTAATCCCGGGATCACGGACTTTTTAAGGTCTCCAAAATCGCGGGATTCTTGGCAAGTAATCCCGGGATCTTTGGGATTTTTAATTTGCACTGATGGCAATAATAGAAACTCCTTTTCTTGACCAGTATTGGCTATATTTCTATATTTCTCTTTTTATTTAATAATTAGTACTTTTTTATAAATGTCTAGCTCATTACACATATAACACCGCGCGACAGTAAATTCTAAACCCAAATATCAATACATTCGCGAAACCATGGGCCAAGTATAGTAAAATTGCGTTTTTAGTTTTTCACTCTGACGTCAGTAATTTAAAAATGATTTAAAAAATGCAGAGAAATGTGCTTAGAGAAGAAGTATGGGTATAAAATTAATGCGGAAATCCTGTAGAATTTAAACAGACTCAAGCTTCTGGTGCAGAAGGGCTGGTAAATATTGAATATGTCATTTTAAAATTTTATCCTTGAAATTACGCAATATTTGAATGGTCGCCGCGAATAACGTTGTAAGCGCCAATTTACTCAAAAGTTTTTTCGCAGATTACCGTTAAAAATACTCTCGTGTATCATAAGTTCGCGAAATTTCTCAATTTCCATCAGTTTTCGGACATTAACCTACGCTCCAAATTAAGTAGTGAGTGGAAAAACGCTTTAAATGCAGGTGACCATGGCCAATTTAGAATTAACAAGCGTAATGCAAAGGTGCAGTAATTGTAAAAAACGTAAAGTACATTTCGAAAATTGGAATGTTATAAAAAATAAGACGCTAATAAATAGTGGGGAAGAATATTCAGGAAGAAATGGGAAAGGGGTATTAAAAAAAATTACCAGAAACGGTAATGAGGATAAACGTTTTAAGTGAAGCAGCTGTGTTAATATCAATTTTGTTTTTTTATTCCCCAAATTTTCAACTGCGCCTGTTCTCTTCACTGCCAAGCTTCATATTGGATACTATTCAAAAGCATTTCTCCAATTTTTTAAAAATGACCTATGATGAACAATCAAAGAAACCTTATTGTTATATTTATTACATTCATTTGTCGAAAAAGGTGTAAACGCCACCAGCAAAGATGCTAGGCTTACTGGAAAAACATGTTATTATCCATTGGGATTTGGATATAAAACGTTTTTCCATCATTAAAATTTTGTAAATCTGCCTATTCGTCCTTGTCAATCCAAAAAATTTTAATTTTTAAAATCTAAAGAAATTTCATATTGCATTTGTTACCCATATTTTTATTCTACGTTGCATTGAATTTTTTTTAACAATTTTTGGAATTAATCATCCCTTTGAAATTGGAAAGTCCTTCAAAATAAATCCTGCCAATAATTAACGCCACTTTAAATAAAAAAGTAGGTTTCGAACCCATTTGTTATTATTTATTTCATGGCAGGAGAGCTTCTCAAACAATATAGAAGCAATTTTTTCGATTCAAGTTGTTGAAAAATAATGAATATCTAAATACCGGGACTAATCCCGAGATCCCGGGATTGTGACAACGCCATCCCGAAAATCCCGGGATGGGAAAAAGCCGAAAAATTAACATCCCTAGCGTGTACACATGTGTCGCTACTCCCTTAAGTCCTAACCCCATGCGACCATTTACGTAACATTTTTCAGCAGAGGAGAGTTTTTATTCTTGTATCTATGTTTGAATTAAAAGTTGTGCTTTTCTTTCTTAAAGTTAACTACAATAAAGAGCTTTAATATTTATGACAACACATTTCATTTTATTTATTTAGTCACGGCTAGACCATACTCGCAACCCCATGCGACCACTAACGTAACATTTTTTTGGCGGAGGTAAGTTTTTAATTGTTTTTTTAAGTTTGAAGTCGAAATTATATTTTTGTTTTTTAATTTACCGATAATAGAGTACTTTAATATTTTTACTAATACACACTTCGTTTTTTTCTATTTTGAATTTTTTTTTCAACACTTTTATTGGGGTCACTTTTATTAGTCACCCCATGCGACTAATTGTGTGATTTTCTTAATGCGCCTAATTAAGGGCGATATACGTGAGTGCGAAGAGATTGAAATACCGGCCGACAGAAAAAACGACCGAAAATTTGATTAGACATTTAAAAAGGAAACTTACTGAAGGTTTCAAGACCAGGGCAGGTTGGCCTAGAGACCGATGTCCAGAACGTACTTAAATTATGGAGGGAACACTTTCCACCCTACCGAATGGCAACAGTAGTGAAAGTAGTGGAGAAGATTATTGATGGCTCTTTTCATTAAACTTGTTTTAATACGATTTGGAGTAATTCCAGTTGTTGTTAGAGTTTTTTGAATGAACGCAACTTGTTTCAATTTTCTTTTACAACCCTTATTATGAAAAAGCTTTCGTGAAGTGTAACGTGAAGCAAACGAAAGAGAAAATGTTTGGGTTTAAAATTTAAACCGAACTGTATAAATTCTAAACCCAACATATGTGCTCTCTTTTTTTAAACTTGGAAGGTTTGTATTTGAAACTAAATTTAGTTTGGTCATATATGTAGTCCAAAAAGTTTAAAATTAAAACCGAAATTTTTAACCGTGTATGATTTATTATGTTTCAACTACTTACGCCAAATTCGAACCAAATCGGACCATAAATATAGCATCTTCATCTTCATCTTCATCTTCATCTTCATCTTCATCTTCATCT